TGTTATGTGCCATCGAGTCGCTTGTGACTCATAGTGACCCTCTAAACGTCATTCTATCCTGTGCCAACCTTGCCGTCTCAAACACACTCATTCCCACCACTCCACTCACAGAATCGATCCATCTCATCAAGGGTCTTCCTCTCCTGCACCGTCCCTCCACTCTGCCAAACATGATGTCCCTCTCCAAGGACCAGTCCCTCCTTGCAACATGCCCAAAGTATGTCAGACGAAGCTTCAGAATCGCTGACTCCAAGGAGCATTCCGGTTTCACCTTCTCCAAAACAAACCTGTTTGCTCTCCTAGCAGTCCATGGTATATCCAACACTCTTCTCTAGCACCACAGCTCAAAAGCATCAATCCTCTTTCTATCATCCCTAGTCACTGTCCAACTCTCTGATGCATAGCACATAATTGCAAAGACTATAGCCAGGATCAGGCGCACCTTAGTCTCCAGCATGACATCATTGCTCTTCAGTACTCTTAAGAGGTCCCTCACAGCTGACTTTCCCAATGCAATTTGTCTCTTGATTTCCTGGCTGCTGGTACCAAGAGTGTTGACTGTGGAGCCAAGTAAACTAAAACTGTTAACTATCTCAATCTCTTTACCATCCATATTAATGCTGCCAATTGGCCCAGTGGTGAGAATCTTTGTTTGCTTGGTGTTGAGCTTTAATCCATATAGGAAACCTCCAATTAATCAGAGCTAGAATACCATTTCCTTAACTTATCTGTCTAGAGAGAGACAAGGTCATCCATAGATGAACACAAGTACCAAAGAGTGTTTGCTCTGAAGATGGTGGTGAATTAAATCAAGATGGCTGTTGCTATCTGTTTTCTCATTTTTGGTCTATCCCATTGCTAATTAATGAGCCATAGTTGTTTACTCAATGAAAAGGTCAAAATATCAAACCACCTGACACCCAATTTAATAATTCTGAGAGAATAACTAAGCAGTACAAATGTAGGTATTCATTTCCAGTAGAAACACACACCAACACAGGCATACCTCAGAGAGATCTCAGGTTCAGTTCCAGAGCACCACAATAAAAATTAATAACATTAGTCACATGAGATTTTTTAGGTTGGTTTTCCCAGTGCATATATAAATTATGTTTACACTACATGGTAGTCTTTAAGAGTACTATATAGCATTATGATGAGCTTTGGAATATTACAATTACCGAAATGTGATTTATGGTTGTTGTTGTGTACTATCAAGTCAGAACTGACCCATAGCTGACCCTCCAGAGTGCTTTTGCAGAGACAGTAAATCGCATCTGAGGAGGTTGTCCATCTGTCTCCCGTAGAGCAGCCGGTGGATTTGAACCACGTGCCTTTTGGATTGCAACACAGTTTCTTACCACTAGGCCATATGAAATGAGCACGTGTTGACAGACTTGCTCAATGCAGGGTTGGTTGGCAAAAAAACTTTAATTTGGGAAAACAAACAACCAATCTCCAAAGCAGAATAAAATTAGATATTCCTATCTCTTAATGTCACCTAGGTGATTAATTTTTTCTTTCAAAGTAAATATTTATTTACAGGTGTTTCTGTAGTGTAGTGGTTATCACATTCGCCTGACAGAGTAAACATTTATTTCCTTTACTTGTACCAGCTAACTCTGGTTAAGTGCCCAAACGGTGCCACTGCCCTCTCTTAAAGTGGCTACAAAGAATTGGTGGTGTACAGTTAGAGTCAAAGGAATACAAATATACATAATAAATCTCTCAGAATTAGAGTTCAAGAGTCCAATCATATGTTGCCTTCCAAAACGAAAAGAATCTCCAAGTTTTCAGAGGAAATGTGAAAAAGACTACTTGTGAAGAAAAAAAAAAAAAAAAGAAAAAGTCATTCCTAGCCAGGACATTCCTTACAGGCAAGCATAGTAAGACTTTGTCTCATATACTTGGGGCATGTCACCAAGAGGTGCTAGTCCTTGGAGGGGGACAACAAGCTTGGAAAGATGAGGAGCAGAGGAGAGGAAGAGCATCAATAAGATGGACTGCCGCGGTGACTCTAACAGTTGGCTTTAAGTACAGCACAAATGGTGAGGATTGTTCAGTATCAGGCAAAGTCTTGATCTGTGGTGCATAGGGTTGCTATGAGTTGGTGTTGACTCCTTGGCCTCTACAAACAGCAACATCATTTGGCACAAAAATTGAAAAGTACACTATGAGTTAACTCCCTAATCCCATCTAGACTTAAAATCAATGCTATTTGTCATTGAAAAATAATAATACTTTTCTTTCTTTACACTCTGTGATCCAAAGTCGTCAGAAACCACCATCTCGATTGCTAGACACTCTGCATGTTTAATGCAGTGGAATGAATGCATCACTTGTGGTAATAATGTGGGAGCAGGTGGTCCAGAAAAGAAGCTAACAGCAAACTGTTGTGTGTGTCAAGGTCCTTTCTTGAAGTCTGACATAATCAAGTCAGTAAAGCGGAGAGCCTGATTATTGCTCAGGAAGAAAGAATCGCAGCTGAGCTAAAAATAAAGTTGATATAAAGTGAATTTTCCACTGCAACGCTTACCCTATTCCTGACTCCCACCTTTCAATACAGCAGTTAATCAATCATTCCTTTGTTGAGTTCTATTAGAAAGTGACATCTGCTATTTTGCTTTCATCACTCATCACGCTTAACTCAGATGATGCCCTGGAAATTCACCAGTCAGTCAAACAGAACTGCAGCTACTGAGAACTGACTTCCCACCTGACTCTGTCTCCCAGCTCTTTCTGTTCCTAATTGGCACTGTGCTGAGTGTGTGGTGACTCCCAGAGAAAGAGCCTCAGGGCAGGGCCCTGTTTCCTCATTGTCTTCTTGGAAAGAAAAATAGAAAAGGTATAAATAAAATGAGAGCCTGGAGGAAGTGCTGCCTACCTTTCATCCACATGTGAGCCACTCTGAAATTCTCATATTCCTAAGTGAATTCATTTGGAGGAGAAAAGGAGAGTGAAGTAGCTATAATTGGAGTACTGCTACTGTTAGGTGTCTTGAGTCTGCTACCTTATGAACAGTGGTTCTGAACTTTGCTATCTTGAGCCAACCTCACCGTCTCTGACACGCCTGTTCCTCTTGCCACAATCACTGTGTCAATCCACCTCAACTTCCACTCCTGTGCTGACCCTTTACTCTTCCAAGCATGATGACCTTCTCCAAAGACTGTTCCCTTTTGGCCAGCACGTCAAAATCCTCACTTCTAGAGGCATGTGTAAATTGGAGGAGTAAAATGAAATAGTACTTTCATATATACTAGCAAATGATGCTTCCTTCACATCATATGTTTACAGTCAAGAAAAGCATGTGTTGGTTAAAATCCAATTTATTTAAGTGTCCATTTGAATAAAAAAAATAAGAATTAGAAGGGCCTTTAGAAAAGATCTTATCTAGTCTATCCCCTTTATTTTACAGTTGGGAAAGCTTAGCTTAGAGAGGTAACTGGACTTGCTAAAAAATATGAGACTATATAAACTTCTAATGCAGGTTTGTTGCTACTGACCATCCAGTCGAAACCAACCCAATAGTGGACACTCCAGTGAGTGTTTAGAAGCAAAAAAAAAATTGCAAGGGAGGAAATTGCTCTTTTTTTTTTCTCCTGTGAAGCAACTGTTGGATTTGAGCCAAGCATCTATGCATTCACATCCCAATTCCTTGCCGCTACAGCCACCAGAACAGTCAATGCAGGAGAGCAAAAGCTTACAAATGTGGACTGCACATGTTTGCCTCTAGCCCAGGAGATGTGTTAAGACCGTCTAACTGAACCTCCTGTGTGGTTAAAGTGATCTAACAGAATAAAAATGCTAGATCTTTCTACCAAATCAAACTTTGATTAAAATAAACTTTAAAAAATAATCTAACAATAATTTTATGTCTAACTTGACTACCTGGGAGCATTCTGCTTGATTGCACTTCCAAAAAACACAGCCCTAACTGGAATTCCATTGTGGAAGTGGAGAGAGGTACGACTTGCCTCTTTTTATTACTTGGTTCAGTTGCCTTTTGAGTTACTGCTGTATTTTAGATAAACTAAAGTTCAACTTAACGCAGACAGCTTCTTTTGTGGGCAAAGCTCGGGCTGGGCACTCCTTTTCCCCAGCAATAAAGACATTTCACCTCGCTCCCAAGTGTCTTAACTCCTGAGAACCACCAGTGATAATTAGGGCTCCACCCTAAGCTGCCCAAGAGTTCGCTGCCGCACCTCCAAGGTTGGACACCTTCAACTTGGAAGGCGGGGAAACCTCTTGTAGACTGTCAGATTGCTCTTTGCGAAGTCACGTTTTCAGCCGTGGTCGGCCTTTTTCCTCTCTCTATCCCCAGCACTAATGAAGCTTGGGTGCCTGGACGTTGGAGGGCTTCCCTGGCGTCAGAACGCGTGCAGGACGCGGCGTCCCCTTGGACACCGGGCCCCATGTTCCCCTCACCCACCAAGGAGTACAAGGGCGCCTGGAGCGTCTAAATGCAAACAACGCCTTTCCCACTCCCTGGGCCAGCTTCTCCAAGAAGGGGTGACTTTCTGCCCGCGCTCCCATAGGCGGGGGCTGAACCACGGCCACGGCCAAGCCAGGGTCACCTTGGCCAAGCGTGCCTTTCATTCCAGAGCCCCCACAGCCAGGACATTCCGCTGGTCACACCATGCAGGCTCTTCCCTTGCCTGGCCCCGCCCCTCACACGCCCCCAGACCCGCCCCGGCTCTGCTCGGGTGCCTGGGAATGCGACCTCAGCCAGCCAAAGTAGCCCGGCAGCGCGGGAACCCGGGAGAGAGGGAAAGGGGGAACTGAAAGCCACCAGCGAAATCGGAGGGAAAATTCCCTTTCTATTCCTCCCAGGGCCCACCCTAATGGCTCGATTTGGGGGACCAGCGCTCTGGTGGGGAGTCCCCAGTGTTCGTCCTCAGCCCCTTCCAACTTCGTACACATTCGCTCCCACTCTCAGAGCACTTGTTAATGACCACAGAGCCGGGTCTGCAGGTGGAGGGAAGCCCGGGCGCAAAACTTACGGTCTACAGCGGCCACCCCTCCACGGGAGGTGGTCAGACTTTGGAGCCACACGCCCAAGGCCACCAGGAGCAGGGCTTTGCTCTTCATCTCCAGACACGTCCTTCTGAAAGAGCTGCTGGGCGCTGGAGGCGCACGGACAGACAGATGGACCAGCTGAATCAGGGAGGCGCTGGAGGGCAGGAGCCTCGGCTCGGCTTGGCGCGGGGCAAGTCGCCCTTTAAAGTGAAGAGCTGTGCCTCTGAAGTGGCGAATTTCCTCTGAGGAGGAGGAGGAGGAATTGAGTCTGACACTGTCTCCACTCCAGGGCTGCTTATGTGACTGGAAATATGCAAATAAACCTCATCACCTATTGGCTATAAAATCATAAGTTGGGGGAGGGTCCTAAGTTCACTTCCAAACATTTAAGCAAACGGTAATGAGGAGTTACCCTGCCAACAAGAAGAGGGGGAAAGGGCAGATAGGAAATCTGATTTTGCTTCGTGCTTGCTTTCCAGTCTGGATCTGGCTTTCCAGAGTCCCATACCAGCACCGACATGGGTCTATATGGATTTCATTATTTACTGTGACCACCAGTTTCTCAAAGAAGAGAAGTTAAGCTTTTAAAGTATATTTAGTTACCATTTCAATCCCTCCTTTTTTTTTTTTTCTTTCTTTTTGATTTCTGGGAGACACTATAGACATCCACAGACACGCATTGCTTCACAGTATATATTTTGCACGCTCGGGTATTTTTAAATTGGCAAAAAGGATTAGTTTATGCGATGGAGAAAAGCCTCCTGGCTCTAACTGGTTTATAAATTTGCCTCATACCAATTAAATCCACTCCTCAGACTAATAAAAAAATGCAAGGATACAGGCTTATCTTCAGGGGCAGAAGGTTGAGATAAAATAAAAATTTATTGAGTTATGCTCAGTGAAAGATGCTGGACAGACAAGACACATATTATATGATCCAATTTATGAGAAATGTCAAGAATTGGCCAATCTATCCAGACAGAAAATAGATTAGTGTTGCTTGGGCCTGGAGGAGAGGCCTAGAGAAGAATAGGAAGTGACAGCTAATGGGTACAAGTTCTTTGAGGAATAATGGAAATGTGTAAAAACTGGATTATGGTGATAGTTATACAACTCCATAAAGACACTAAACACTGTTCAATTGTATGTTTTCAAATGGTGAATTTCGTGATAAAGAAATGATCTCTCACTTAAGTTGATGGGTGTATGCAAGTAAAAAAAAGTGTACATACGTGTATATATAATAAGAAAAATAAAATCACTGGATTTAGTGCTTTTCTGTCTTAAATATTCAGAATGCTTTCCAGTGTCTTTCTAAATATAAAGGGATTACATTTGCCAGGAAAGACAATAAACTATACTGCTCACTTTCTGGGTGAGGAATTATATCATAAAAGCAGAGTCCCCAAATCCATTGTTTGTACAAGATTATTTCTCTTATTACATAGCTAATAATTACACACCTTCTATAATCTCTCTCTCTCTCTCTCTCTCTCTCTCTCACACACACACACACACACACACTCTGCATTTGAAATTGGAAGATGACAGGCCCTACAATTATAGGTAGGGAGCTCTGGTGGACTAGTGGTAAGAAGTTGCACTGTAATTCCTAAGGCAAGTGGTTCAAAATCACCAGCTAATCTGAGAGACAAGGATTAACTGTCTCTGGAATCCCATTGGAAGGTCAACTATGGGACAATTCTGACAGAACACTGCAACAACAATTATAGTTAAGCTCGCATTTTAAATTTTGCTTGTGAAATAAAATAAAACTTGAAAATGCCCAACTATATAAAGGTTTGAAATTTTATAATAGCAAAATATTGATGTTACAGTATTTGTGGAGTAGTTTTTGGAATGACCTGTTCTGTTAATACATATGACTTATATTGCCTTGTACTACATTTATTAAGCAATATATCATATATACCCATTCAATCCTATGGCTATGTGGAAGGAAGTTGCTAACTATCAGTACACCCAGAAGAAATTTAGAAATGGCAGCAGAGAAGTGGAGTGGAAATTGCCTACCATGTTATTGAATATATCCCACTTATTTTTACACATATATATTTGTTAAAACAAACTAGCCAATCCTGTGGCTTTTAGAGGATTTCTGTGCCTTTTAGAGAATTGCAAGATTTTATGTAATTTCTCAAGGTGTGGGCAGATGCTTGTAAGGCATTTATTGAAAAATATTTTTCCAAGTTAACATACAGCAAAATCAAACCAAACCACAGCATTCGCATAGTTTTTATTATTATTATTATTTTAAAATAGGAATTTGGTCTTGGATTGGCCTATGCCATTACTCTGCAGGTCCATTAATGTTGAAGACATTTCCAGGAAAAGTTAACTCATAGCATCTCAGCCTGGTAAGAAAAGCAGACTGGCTGGCTCCTCTCTTGGGTGCAAGCGGAGTGGGCAGGTGGGTGTGGTGGCAATGCCCTCTCCTGATTGGCTGCTGTTGGTGGCAGTCAGGTTCCCGCTTTGTTAATCTGAGACTCACATGCTCTCCAAATCAGGACTGAGTGTGCATTAGAGTAGCACCTTTTCCAACTTCTGCAAGGTTATCTGGTCACGGATAAATCGAAGACTTGTTATTTTTCCATAACTGATATTTATTTGCCTTGTAACTATCTAAAAAGTATCCTCAAGGCAAGACACTATCTGGTGGTATAAATTGACTATCATCTAAGTAAATAATAAATGAATAAAATGTACGTACCTACTGAAACACCTAGAAATTACAGATATGTTAAGCTTTATTTCTCTCTCTCCCCCTCCCTCCTTTCCTCTTTTCTTTCTTCCTTCCTTCCTTCTCCTTTCTTTTCCTTTCTTTCCTTCTTTTCTCTCCCTCCCTTTATTTATCCTTTTCTCTTTCCCTCTCTACCTACCTACCTAGCTATCATACAGATGATATTGATTGAGGCTCTTCTACATGTCCACATTTTTCATCCTTTTGTGTACTTAATCATGATAAGAACAACCCAAAAAATAGTGTCTCCTTTATATAGATGAAGAAAGATGAAATTCAGGGAAGATTTAGTAAATTAACAACAAATCATACAGTGAGATGCTATTTCCCCCTTTATTGATTCCGGGGGTGGGGGTGATTATTTGCTGTTTTGCATTTTAACGTTGTTATACTTAGAATCTTGCAGTGGCTGGGAAGCATTTTTTTGTTGTTAGCTGCTAGTGCCATCAGTTCAGTTCCAATTGTTGTAGTTGTTGTTGTATTATTTAGACAAGAAGAAGCACAAGCTGGAGCTGAGCAGAGATCCTGCAACTGGATAAGGAGGATGGAATGTAGGTCTGGTGCCCAAGGGTGGTTGATGGCAGGACCTCCTGATCCTGCCTAAGTAAGAGAAAGTCTAAGTAGCTTAGTTCAGCCAAGATTAAACTCAGGATACAATTATCCTTCAGCAAAGTTGAACACTGTGTTCTGAAAAGTCAAAGAACAAATAAATACTGTATTTTGCCAATCTTCTATCTCCTTTCCCCCATTAAGGAGCTCCGGGGCATAGTGCATTATATGTTGTGTTGCTAACAGAAAGGTTAGTAATTCAAATCCACTAGCTGCTTTGTGGGAGAAAAAAAGGTAGGCCAGGCCATACTCATGAAGATTTCTGACCTGGTAACCCAATGGAGGATTATTACCAGTCAGAATAAACTTGTAGGTAAACAGTGATTCCTTCACCTCCACTAGTAAGTACAAGATCAAGGACACTTTGGTTGCCTTTCAGAGGGTGGCTGTATGTGTGAAGACAATTGTTTCATGTGAAAATAGTATGCTGTAAAGTAATGCAAACACATAGTAAGGACTTCAGATTTATAAAGTTGGGGATATCCATCTCCTTTTCCAAATTTCTTCCAGAAACAAAACAAATAACAAAGAGAAAGAAAGAAACATTTTTGCATCAGCATGAGATTTGTTTGATGAAAATTAAGAGCAGATATAAAAGATGGTTTTTAAAAAAATCTGAAAGTAAATGCATTGCAATGATACATCCAAGAATAAGCTACAGTCAAACCTATGAAATCCAGAAACTATCTAAATGGGAACTCAACAAGCAAAGGAAAACTCAAATATTTTTATCTAAAGCAAGTAATTTGTAAAGTGATAGGACTGAGCACTGCCAAAGGTAGAAAACTTGTGAGACCCAGGAAATTAAGGTACACCTGTTATGCTCTGACTTTCTCACTCTGTGTAGTAAAAGGGAAGGACAGAACCTCCTAGAAGGCAAACATTTAAACAGAAAAACTGCAACAAGAATTTATCCCCTTAATGGAAGATAGCTGGTTAAAAATGAAAGAGAATATTCCTTAGATTGCCTGTTGGCTTTCTAGCTCTTGTTCATTTACAAGTCTTTTCTCTTTCTAAAACATGTTAAGTCAAACAATTAAAAAAAAAAGCCAAACAAGTCCATGTTGCAAATCGAACCATCACAAGAACATGGAAACAGCCCAGACGCCCAATCACAAAGGAATGGATTGAGAAGTTGTAGTACATTCATACAATGGAATACTACACAGAATGTAGGAGCAATCCTTTTGTAAATTACTACCTAACTTGGGAGAGATTGGAGAGCATTATGCTGAATGAAATAGTATCACAAGGACAAACACTGTATAAAACCATTACTGTAGAATGATTATGAGGATCCAAGTGGAGTGATGGGGATGGGCGGACATGGGGGTTGGGTGTTAATCATAGGATTGTACAATTTGATGGGTGGGAGGTGAAGGAAACTGGAATGTTTTGTGAAAAACATTGTATTCAAACTTTATAAATAAATCAGTAAAAAGTAAATAAGATCCTTTCCATGAGATCTATTTAACTGAAGAAGGAAGTTGAAGAATATATTGTGATGATCTTTCATTGCCAGTGATGCAGAGTGCTCATCATCTTGCTGAAAGAAACTTGAAAGAGGACGTGTTTGAACTGCCCCCTGCTGGCTTCCTAGTGCTACTGTAACATCTCATAAAAAGCCGTTGTAAGAGGCTTGATACAGAATTGACAGGATTTATTCTTGCCGGCTTGGTTTTTTATTCTTTATTCTATCTTT